ATTTAGTGCGAAACAAGTTACTACTACTTGCTATATATATATCTATATATATTTATACGCTTTTGGTAAGGCCGATTGCAACCAAAAACGGAAGTGCACAAATACATGTTGTAGCAGTCCTAGATACAAAATTTCAACTTTCTGAATGTGCTCATTTTTGGCGAAATACATACATACATACAGACGCCATGAAAAACATTCTCTTCTGAATCCATTTGAAATCAGTTTTATAATCCGTTTGAGAAAATAGAGTCCTTTATTCTGTCCTTACGTACAGATGTCACGCAAAAAAAAATTGTTAAATTGCATTCGATAGCGGTCAAAATGGATATTTTTGTTGAAATATGATACCCGGAATTTTTCTTGATTACAATACTTCCTTTACTTCCCACAAGGAAGTAAAAAGTAACAATAACGTGTTGCATATTCTGATATTTGTAAAAGTATCTGAGAATCCTGTTCTTAATTCTTTCTAGATAAATTGATACGAAATTCGACTATAACGTTTAATATTGCGACAGCTTCTTCTTCATATTTTTTAAACCAACAGTTTTCTCTTCTTAATTTTAAATAAAACTGTATTAATTTCGAAATTGCCCAGACGCAGGTCAGACAACTTCAAGAGAAAACAAAGACTATAAAAAACTTACGCTGTTACTTCAGTGTTTTTTCAGACAATTCGCATATTTTCAAAATTCAGCTGCATTACCCGCAGTTCCATGCCTATATTCTAAGGCTTTTGTTGACTTCATATAATTGTAAATGTATCGTTGACTGTGTCATCATTATTTAAATCTGACATTTCTGTAAACTTTATAAATTTGACAACTTTTAGATTCACTCGTATACATTATAAATCATTTATATGGATAATATGTAAGATGATATACATTTTTGTAGACAAGAGTTAATAAGCTAAATGAATATAAAAATCAATAGAAAAAACAGTATCAGAAACTGGCTTGACCTAGTCAAGGAACCAAACAATCTTAATCTTATCCATGCTCAAATGTAGAAATAAAAATTTTTAGAAAAATCTGAAACAATTCAGATTTTATATTACGTCCAAAGAAGCATGTTATTTTATTTAGAAAATATCATATTTTTCGTACTTAAACCACAAAAAATTGAATTCAACAGCAGTAGCACGAAATATTTAAAAACAGCATATCTTTAAAATTTCCGATTGACAGTCTCGCTTGCTCAAAGTTTTTTCCGTACAGTGTTGCCATTGCTTGCTTTGAAATCGTTGAGCTTGTTAAGCTAAAATTCATTAAAAGTCTACAAAACATGTAACAGATAATAAAGCAAATACGAGATTCAAACATTCAGCCGTCCAGGTACCCATGGAGGATTACGTTGTCGGCATTTATAGTGAAACTCCACAAAATGTCGTTTTGAGACTAATAGCCCTTGTGTGAGGTGACGTCCCTTTGGGCTAATTAGAATAAAAAATCCGTCGAAACAACTTCTGATTTCGCGCGCAGAATTGCACCTAGTCTTATACTATATGTTCATTGCCGTAAAACATGCATAAACCTGAATATAAACTTGCAGGTCTGAGTGCGTATCGTGACGAGATAAGGCACACAGGAAAGAAATTAACGGAAAGTTAACTAGTAATACTAAGATTGTAATAAGATTTTGGAAATGTCTTCAGTCCAAAAAATATGAAATGTTTAACCTACCCTTTGTGAAAGAACAAAGAAACAAATACCTGCAGGTATATAAAGTGTAATACGTAAAATTGATCACAAAAATGGTAAAGTAAGTAAAATTATGTATTTAATCTGGAGATATATTATATGGTACTATTTCTCTCACTTTCCTAGCGTGCCTTCGTGGTGTGGTGGTCTGCACACTGGGCCGGTATTCCAGAGGTCCGTGGTTCGATTCCCGGCGAAGGCGTTTGCTCATTTTTCATCTTACCTTCTTCCAAAAAATAACCTAATTCCTCTACAAGCTCCAATAAAATTAAAAAGAAATCAAGAAGTACTTTCCTTAGAAATAAATAAAAATTGTTAAACCTTTCATTTTCATCACGCCGATACCTCATCTGTTAAAGTTATACTTTGGAGAAGAGCATAGCGATTATTCGCAGTTCTTCTTACAACTATAGGAGCAAAGTCCAAAGACGGATTAAAATACCCTTTCATTCTACTCAATAATAATATTTGGCCCCTCTCGGACTTACAGGAGAGCCACCACTTGCGCTTAAAATAGAAAGTAAGAAACTAATTCTAATTAAAAACCAGTCGAAATCGTACAGAAATAACAGGCCGAGTTTGCCCTTAATTAAACCTCACCGGCCAATACTAACAGGCACGTAAAAGTGCCTGCTCGTATTGGCCGTACTATGGCCGAACGTAGCAAGATAGTCGGCCTTAGTAGCAAGATAGTCGGCCGTACGTAGCAAGATAGTTGGCCGAACGTAGCAAGATAGTCGGCCGAACATAGCAAGATAGTCGGCCTTGCTACGACCGAACGTAGCAAGATAGTCTTAAAGCAACGACGTGGCCAGATGACAGAACACGCTCTACTAAGAACTTCTAAGATCTCTCTACGGAAGTCACTGCACTTCTCATTAAATACTGGTTCTACCTCATTTACATAAAATGCGATATTGAAATCTCATTCTGGCAGGAAATTGTAGTTGGAAAACAAAAAAGTAAAGGAAAGCGTTTCAAAAATTAAAAATAACTGTTAGAAAGTTAAAATAATCCCTACAAAGTTATAAATGCTAAGAGTGATGTCTTAAATTTCGCAAATTTCACTTCAAAACATCATTTTTCTTCAAATTTGGGATATTTTGAATAACTGATTATTATTCTCGTATGAAGACTCAGTGTCTCCTCTGAATTTGGATTTTAAGTGGAGAATTATTAGACATATCCTTTTCAATAATTCTCAATAATTACTTCTTTGTACGAAATAAAAAGGAAGTATCGTAAACCCAAAAAATTTCGGCAATCATATTTCAACGAAATTACCCATTTTGACCGCTATCGAATGCAATTCAACGATGTTTTTGCGTGACATCTGCAGGTAAGGACAGAATTAAGGACACTTTTTCCCCCCAAAAAAATTATAAAACTGATTTAAAATAAATTCTAAAGAGAATTTTTCGTAGCGTCTGTACGTATCTCCCATACCTCAAAAACAAGTAGCCTCGGAACGTTGAAATTTTGTATATAGGACAGCTATAACATGTAGATGTGCACCTCCCATTTTGGTTGCAATCGGCAGCGCCGCAAGTATATAAATACACTCTGTTACTCGGCTCAGTGAGCTGAGTTTCTTTATTCTTACATGTTTGTCAACTGTGCATTTTTTGCTTTAAAAATGATTGAACTATATTGTTCTGGTTAGGATTTTTATGCCTTTAGTTAACCTGCATTTAAGAATTGTGGAATTATCAACAAATTTAAAGTTTTTTAAAGGTGGCTAAGCCTAATTTTTGATTACCCTGGCAGCCATTTTTGTTTACAAATGAAACTTAGCAAAATAGTGGATTTGTTGCCAATCTAGAGAAAACTAAGCTTCGCAGCAACAAAGTGACGTCTTCTTTTATTGTTGCGAATTAAATCATGCTTAATTCATTCTGGAATTACAATTTAAGTTATTAGCTTGTTTTGGCGTAGAAACTGTAATTTTAATTGTAAAAATTATTTTTTAATTGTTTTACTGTATTTAGCGTCTTGCGTTTTTCTATATGTTTCAAATTTTAATGAAAATATTTTGAATTTTTATGTATTTTTGCCTTGCCGCGAAGAAAGAACTGCATAGCGCATGCGCATTAGGTAAACGGCCCTGAATCGTCTGGGGAAACCTGTTTCTTTTTTATTTCTTTAATTTCTTTTATACATCGTTTTAGATTTATTATAGTACTTGAATAGAACTTGTAATTCTTTAGATTATATAATTTTTGTGCACTCTGAATTATAAAATGAATGTTAATGCTGTTAAGTGAACGTAACGCTAGTGTCGCTATGCTAAATAAATATAGTAAACGTTAAAGAACGCATTTATTGTAGTGTGGTTTATGCGCATCGACGAAGTAGATTTACTTCAAAATTCGTTAACTGTTAATTCAATATGTTTAAATGAAATGCAGGGAAATTGCGTATAATTTAATATTCCGTATAAGGAAGTCATGTGATGTACACGTCAGATTTTTTATTTAAATGTGAATGCATTTACAAAAAAAAAAAAAAAAAAAATGGATTCACAATTACATGATAAATATCACGAAGAAGATGTTTCCCTCGAGGTATTTGAAAATGCTGGAAAAATACTTGATTCATATTTAAGCAATTTCCAGTTTCTAGCAGTGTTTCGGTTTTGAACATGTCGAACAAGAAGAAGGTATACGCATACAGAAATGCGCTTGGCTAAAATAAAGAGAACTGGACTTTATCTTTACGTTAATCAAATATATGATTTCTCAAGTATGTGCACTCCTTTTAATGAGAATAGGATATCTTAAAAAATACAGTTGTTAGTATAATCAAAATGTGTAGCTGAAGTTAGTGGTAGGGGGTACCCTCGTCATGTTATTTCATCATTAGCTATCGTATAATATTTTTATTTAATGAAAGAAAGACTCAAATATTCAAGATATTGCTATGTATTGTTTCACTGGATCGCTTGCACACGAGGACTGCAGGAAACATTTCTCTCAAATGACAATGCTTTATATTTTTCCAAGACAATATATCCTCGATCAATTACATTTATCCAGTTACAATAGTTATTACGGTGATATAGGGCCCATACCAAAATGTCGCCAAATGCTAGGCAAGTTTGGCGACTTTTGTTGCTACATCGCCACATTTGGCGACAAATTAAATCGCCAAAACACATTGTCAGTTTTGCGATATCTCGCCAAATTACCGAGATACGCATTTAATCAATTTTAAATGGATTTTACTTTATCAATGCGAAATGGACTTATTTTTATTAAGCTTTATTTTCTTTTTAATGCGTGCTTCGTTTTATAGATTTTGAATTGGAAAGGCGATACCTGCACGAAAACGTTTGGCCTGAAATGCAAAGACACTGTGCGGCAGTGGGAGTTGATCTCGAAGTTCTGGATGTGCAGCAAGGAGTAGATCTCGATTCTACGTACGATCCACACGCATTTGGGCAGCAACTCAGGGAGATTGAAAATTGTCACCAGGAATCTCTCGGATGTTTTTTGTTGGTGAGTTTTAGATTTCTGTGTTTCATTAAAAAATTAAAAACCTAAAAGTATTCTTTCTTCTAATTCAGAGGTTTATAAAATTTTTAAGCTTGCTATTCTAAAAGTTATACTAATATAAGGTAAGGCTTCAACATTTTTAACTAAAACTTTTATACATTTAAATAACATTTTAGATTGAGCAAAGCAGACATTTATTTTGCTGCTTTGCGCAGATTTAGAAGTAATGGTTTGATATGAATATAATCATAGTTCATCCCATTTTATAGAAATGATTTTGCTCCTGACGAAGAGGGACCCGTGTCAGAATCACTCTCCCCCTAACAGAGATTTATCTAACTGCATGGTTTTAATATAAATTCGTGCCTTTGTGGTGTAGTGGTTCTGCACACTGGGCCGGTATTCCAGAGTTCCGTATTGTAATCAAGCAGAAGGTCCTATGTATGTGGCATCTATTCTGGGATTCTCAGCTTAATAACAAGCTGAGAAAAATAAAAACGAGAATAGAACATTGGAAAGCAGATGGAAATCGGGGAGAGGAAGTGCTTTTAGCTCGCCTCAGAATTGGTCATTCACGAGTGACACATAACTACCTTTTAAAAGCAGACAGATAACCTGTTTGTTGCAGATGTAATTCTATACCCTTCCTGTGTCACATTTTAACAGAGCGCCCTTTTTTAGTAAACTTCGTGAGAAAATATTTAATAGTTCTGAGGTAGCTCTTCAACATCTCATCGGGCAAGATTTTAATACTAACATATTCTTTTATCTAAGAGATATTGGGTTTTATCATTCATTTTGAAATAGTTTTAATGTCTAATGTCATTCATGAATTTTACCTTTTTTAACAGTTGAATCATTTGGATTTTACTATACATGTCAGCTTTCATCACTTTATTCTATCTGTCGATTTTATCATCAGTGTGCTTGTTTTAAATTATTTCTTTTAATATGTGCACCTGTAATTCATCTGCATATTGAAATATCACACCTGTATTCGGAGCATATAATCTCCAAGGTTTTGAGTCAGAAATCACTATGACTATCATTATCACTATCCAGAGGTCGGTGGTTCGATTCCCGACGAAGGCGGTTGATAATTTTTCATCTCTCCGGCTTCCAAAAAAAAATACCTAATGTCTCTACAGTCAGACGCTGTATTTAATAGCCAATAGGTGTGAATTGGCCACCATTGCGAACTGGCCAATTCATTATTCTAAATAGGTGGCCACTGTTGCTTCCTATGAAGGGTCGGACAGTTCAAACCTGGGCCCATCGCTGGGACAGGCAGGGTCACTAACCACTATATCGGCTGGGAGGCTTTGCATTATCATAAAAATCGAAAATTTAAGATTTCACAACAGAGATGACAAACAGTCATACATCATTTCTGAGATAGGGCAAAGCTATATAAACTTTGTTTGCAAATGCCAATTAATAAAATTTTGAGCTGCAGCAATTTTTCCCGGCGGACAGGTGGTTTCACCAGTGTTCTGGATACTTAGTAGACAATTTCTGATAATTTCTATTTGGTGAATGTGATCAAATCAAAGTTATTTGAATTTATAACCTTGACTTGATTTAACCTCTTGATCAAATGTCCCTGTACAACATTTCTGATAAAACGAAAGGTTTACTGCACTGCGAGAGAAGTGATAAAAGAGTAGTTTGAAATAATAATGAAAGACTGCACGACTGCTTGAACAGTCCTGGGATTAGACGAGTAGCTCTCATCAGAAATTCAATCATATGCTGGAAATCATCGTCATTATATAATGTGCCGAGTTTTTGTTTAAATCAATGTTGCTTTAATTACGCCAGTGATCCAGAAGTCCATTTTTCAGTAGTGCAGTATCTGTATTCCAAATACACTGGTTATCATAAATTAAGGAAAGATCACAAAAATCACGATTACTGAAAACGTTACATGTAGAATTTTATGAAACTCACCCACAATATACAACATATAGTAAGCAATAACATAAAAATAAATTATAACAAATAACATAAAAATAAATTACCAGACAATTATGGTAGTATAAAAATTAGCACATGTATAAAATGAGCAAATCGAAGGTGTCAGTTTGCTATAGTAAAAGTACCTTCAATATGGAATATAATCGCCTCTAAAAGCAATGCATCACATTCAGCGATGTGTGATGCTTTCAAATATGCGGTCTATCAGTTCCATAGGAAGCGAGAGCCACTGATCTTGCAAAGCAGTTGCAAACTCGGCAAGGATCTGAGGGGGCGGATTGAGAGCAGCTAGACGTCTCTCTAAAGCATCCCAAACGTGCTCGATAGGATTCAAGTCCGGGGATCGAGCTGTCCACTCCATGCGCATAATTGTTTCCTGTTGAAGATAATCATCTACGATGCAAGTCCTGTGTGGTCTTGCGTTATCGTCCTGTAACAAGAAAGCATCACCTATTATCCCGGCACATGGCCGCACATAAGCATCAAGGATGTCATCTCTATAAACCGGTGCATTCACGGTTTCCGTAGAAAAGACATGAAGGTCTGTGCGTCCACACAAAGAGATGCCACCCCAAACACAGACACTGCCTCTTCCGTATGCATCTCTTTAACGGATGCTTGACAGATGATAACGGTTTCCAGGTTCTCTACATATGAAATAACGCCTACTATCGCTTTCTAGATTAAACCTGGACTCATCTGTAAAGAGCACAGCACTCCACCGATCAGGCGTCCAGTGGACATGTCGTCGTGCCTACTGCAAAACGGTCCTTCCTATGGCGTGACGTGAGCGGCACGCAAATGGCTGGTCGTCTCGCATACAGACCACTTTCGTGAAGCCTTCCACGCACAGTTGACGTTGACACCAACCTTCCGGTGGCTGCAGCAAGAGAGGATCTAAGAAGAGTCGGAGCAACGGTTCTATTCTTGAATGTACATAATGTCAAATATCGGTCATCGGCGCTCGTCGTAGCAGTTGGCCGTCCTTGGCTTAACCTCCTAGATGCCGAATCTGTTGTTTGAAATCGCCTCCAAAGTCTATGAACCACAGAAGGACTCACATTTAGCCATCTGGCCACTTCTGTTTGACTGTATCCTGCCTCTAGTCTCCCAATGGCTTTCCATCATAGTTCTGCAGGCAAATGATGCCTGGAGGTCATTGTTACGAATTGCCTATCTCACATTTCTGATGTCACTATCACAGTAAAATATGTGGGCTTGCTCTCAAACATGGACTTTTATTCTCCTCGCAGATGACATATTCAGAGTGCAGCGCCACTAATTTGCATATGGTAGTTTTACTCAGCTAATTTTACTTGGCAACATATTCAAATTTTACACGGTTTTGCTTATTTTTGAGGGAGTTATCGCTATTTTTGTGATTTTTCCTCTATGATAACTAGTGTATTTCATGTTTATTTCGAAGGCTTATGAGAACACTTGTGTCATCTGTAAGATTTTTTCTTACACTTTCTGAAGGTCTTCCATTATATATTAGCTAGCATTAGTTACTCCTACAAGTTAAATTGCTTACTAATATAGTTTAAAAATTACAAAACTGAAATTGCAGATAAATCATATTTGCATAGCAATAAATCAAGTAATTAAACAGGATGATTTATTTGAAACGTTTTCCTTACTTTGTTTCTATTCATTATGCTGAGTCTACCAGCAGGAAAAAATATTGTTACTAATCGTCTAGAGTTCATTGATAGCATATGAAGCATCATTATTTTAAATCATGTTATTTCAATAATTGGAGCAATTACTTGGACTGTTTCTGTCTCGAAATTTAAGCTAATGCTTTAGCATTATACTTACTTTTTCCTTTTGTCTAGTGAACTCATTACGTTCACTTAATCTGACTGCCTGAAATTTTGCATGTCTTGAGTATAAATAGAGTCAAAAATAAAGTATAAAATTATGTTACCTCGATATATTTCATTTTTTCCAAAGTTACTATTCGGGATGCCCATCGACAATGAAGACGTGAATCGAAAGAAATTCATTTTTAAAATTATAAAATGCTATTTATGTGTGTCAAGAATTCCTTTTTGAATACCTGTAATGTTCATATAACATAGTAGAAATATTAAGAGTTAAGAATTTCTCTGCTGTCTTTCGCTTGTATTCTAAGCCGAATCTTGAAGTTAGTGGACTGATAAATTGATTACAGCATCATAAGTGCGCATGAGCAGAATATTTGGAATTTCTTGCAAAATGAATATGTTATTTGACATAATATAATATCGCATCATTTCCTTTGTTTGGTTTAATACACTGTGTGTCTTAGTGAAACAATTCATTGTATATGCACCTAAGGGATATAATTAAGCCGACACGTTAAATATAATTCACATATTTATCAGAATAATTTTGGACCACAATTAGAACTGGTTATAGATTGTCCTGCTTAAAGTATCAGTAATAAATCATCACTAACCTGCTTAAATTTATACATAATTTAAAATAAAACTGACTTTGCCTTTCCGCCTAATATGAAATAGAAAACTACACATACCTAAGTTTATTTGAAAATTACTTCACACCTGTTTAACAATATAAGTTAAGCGACATTCTGGCTGGCTATAATAGATATTTAAACTGCTTCTGTGGTCCTTAAACTGAAATATATAATAATGAGAATAAAAGCAAGCAATAGCTTTTAATCAATATCTTTAAAAGCAATACCTTTCTGAACGCTCGAGGTAGTTGTTCTTACCATTATAGTATAATTATTATAAATATATATATATATTATATATATATAACTATTAATTAATATTATATTAACATAATAATGTAATTATATTTTGATAGTATAATAGCTTACAATTTAGTCATAACTAGCCCAAAGGGCGTTAGCCCAAAAGGGCTATTGGCATTTTACGTTGATTTGTTCGTTTTTGTTTTACTTAACGGTTTTAATGGAATGTTATTCTAAATTTGTATATACATATATGACTGTGTCACTATTGTATTAGCCCTTATTTTTACTTTTGACAAAAAAACCTTTAAAGCAAAAATAAATATTTTACATTTTATATGACATCAGCATTTTAACTGGAGCCTCACTTTCATATTTATTTCAGGATAATTTTATAAAAACGAGCGGACACTAATGATTTTTCTCTTCAATCTTTAGTGCATGATTGGTAATAAGTACAAGCCCTGTCCTCTACCGTGGTGTATCGAAGCTACAGAGTTCGATCCAATCTATGAAAAGGCCCAAGAAGCAGGTCTAGATGTTAACCTTCTAAACCAATGGTACACGCTCAACTCAAATATGGTACCACCAGCTTACGTCGTCCGTTCTCTAGACTCAAAAAACACAAAATTCTCATTGAGGTTTGTTCCTTTTTCTTTTTTTTTTCCATTTAACTTAGCAATCCCTTGACAGTATCTCCCATTATCGATATCGTGTCTCTTTTTATACGATTAATAATATTTTTCAATTTTTGAAATCTTATTTATGATTAATTAAAACAAATTTGCTATTGCAGTGCTCGTAAACTATTTTTTATTTTCCAATTAATTTGCATAAAATCAGAAACCTATTAAAAATGATAGTTTATTGATTTATGAAAGTTAAAATTTTAAATTTTTAATGTATTCGAAGGACATATCGCAACATTAGAAAAGGAGGTTTTAGGCACTACTATTGACCATTCTTTTTTGCAACTTTTAAGCTTTTCATTTGTCATATACACAGCAGAGCATTTGTAGTTGAAGTTTTGAAACTATATAAATAATTTTTCAGCAATGTGCAAGAATTGCAGCAGTTTGTAGTGGAATTATAACACGTGGAAAGCGAAAAAGCGAGTGGAAATGCTCACAAGAAAGGACTGGAAGTCTAACTGTGATTCTTCTTCACTAAAACTACTGTTTCCAAATCTAGTTGTCTTTTTTTTATTCTGATGTCTCGAAAACAAAATAAACATAAATAGTTTGTCCATCCAGTTTATTAGTTACGCGGACCGTGAATATTAGAGTAATCTCATCATACGTAAGTTCACGTAAATCTCACAATGACATTCTTTGTTTCCATCTCATTGTTTCTCATTCATGACTACAAACTCTCCCACGAATTTCGTGTTAACAAGAAACCTAATCGTATAAGATTTTTATTTCAAGCTGATAAACTTATCGAATGGATTAAACATAATCTGCTGTCGTTATGAGAAAAAAATAAATTTTGTTTTCACATTGATAAAAGTGATGAACTTTTTAAATATTAAAACAAATTAATATATATTATTTTAAACATATTTAAAAATATTTTAAACAATTTAAACTCTTTGTGCACCACTCAGTGCAACACAAGGCTTGTAGAAGTAAATAAAAAATATAAAAATCACAGCTCAAAATATAATAAAATTTACAAATTCACAGATAAAGGTAAGAAAAAAAATATACAGAGGACGAGATTGACATTTTATCTTCAAACAACATACGTATTTATGTACATATGTTAGAGCGAAAGGAAATTTAATCAGAATCTGATATTGCAGAAGTAATAATTCGATCAGTTACGTCTCACTTGACATTATAAGAATAATAACTTCACAGCCAGTGTCAAGGGATTTTAACGACCTGCACTGTGTGTCTCACCAAAACGTCTCGATTTCAGGGAGGCTGATGGGCCAGTGATCCTGTTGCTTCTCTGGTACTGTTTCAACTATAACGAGTCACAGGACGTAAAATACAACCTAAGAAGTAAGACGGTGTGACTACTTTAGTCTGCAAACTGTTTTAGACAAGGCATGAACTAAGAACGCTCCTAAACTCTCGACTAGACAGATTTTTGCCGCTAGCAAAATCCTCACATAATGAGAACAATAATTGACAATAATCGCTTCTGTGTCTTCAGTGTTGTTAGGTATTGCAATACATCCCCTCCTAAATTTATATTAAATGTATTTTAGTTCTATATGCAGTAAGTAATACACAACTTTAACAAACGCAACCAACACCACTTACCACATGAAGTCGCGCCATCAGGGCAGCATACCGTCTTCACTCCAAAGTAAAGTTCACAGAAACATCTTCCTTCTCACAGGCCTCACATTCGCCTGCATCCAAGCAACGTAATAAGCGTGTATTGGGTCCTTCGTCTCCAGGTACAGTGAGCTTCTCATAAAACTGTTACCACAGACTGATTATGAAGCACAACTTTTAGTTTTCTTCTGTGGTTCTCTATTTAAACAAGACGTTAGAGGTAACTCGGACTTGCTCAGCCTGCATTATTACTCTTAAATTCTAATCATCTGCATATCATGTGCAGTCTCTCTAGTTTCATTTAATTTGCATGATTTTCAAAGCAAAATTTCTAAAACCTTACCCGTATTTAGTAATGTTTTGTTTTATACAGGCGTCCTCCCGATATGCGAAAGAAAGATTTCGAAGCTGAAGCTCAAGAATGGATCGAAGAGGAAGAACAGGTCCTGAAAATCATCCAATACGGTGCACGGGTGGCACACCAGGAAGGACTCATTAACCAAAACAAAGACACCAGGCAGAGAAGATACTTCATGTCAGGTGATTAAAATGCTTTATCATGGCTTCTAGACCACCATCCTAATGTCTTTCCTGTGAAACAGTATATTTTGCATGTAGACTGATTATAACTTCTAGAAGTGAAAATAATTCCGCGTCTATTATAAGATCTGCGCAGAAACGTATTTACCAATTCGACAATTACCGTATTTGACGGCGTATATGACGCACTGTTTTTATTTGAAAATAGGTCTAAAAACGGTCCGCATCTTATACGGCGATACTTGCGTCTTATACGTTGATACTTATTGCGTAGATACGTCGTTTATGAATGGGTCAAAGCTTTATGGGATGTTGTGGACAGTGGTTAAATCATTTAAGAAGTGTGGCATAAGTAGTGCACTGGATGGTTAGGTGACAATTGGTTGTACAAGATGTTGAGATGCTTTGAGAACACGGATGCTGATTTAGAAGAGGTTTTAAGTGACTCTTCATTTAGCTCTGGAGATGAGTGTCTGGGTTTGGACGAAGAAGATTAAAATGTGTGCTTTCCCGGATAGACTGGGTATTTGAAGAAAGTATTACTTTGTATCTGTATTTAAAATACTATAAATTCATTAAAATGGTCAGTAATAAAAGCTTTACCCTTCAAAAATGTGCACAAATAAGGGGTGCGTCTTATACGCCGGCAAATACGGTATATCAATAATTAAAAGTCGATTGAAGAAAACGTATTTTTCTGCGTATACATATCTCGACGGCTATTTCTGAAATCTAAAACGTAGTGCAATTGCATTATCGAAGTTTATTGACGCATACATGTACGTATTTCTGTGTATATGTGTGTGTGCAGGTAGTTTCTTCATCTTTAAAAGGTGTAATTAATGCATTTAACTAGACATTTTAATTTGTTATTAATCAATAAATTTATAGTTCAAAATTTTTTATTGATCTGATTTTAAATTTTCAATATTATGCAGCAGCATTAAGTGCATCTTTATGTAGAATTATGATCCGGCATGACACAAAATTTGCTTAAAATTTCACAAAACTGCATAGCTTGCTGCTGTTCTACAACGAAATTCAAACATTCCGGTGTAAAGGAATCTGAAGGCTATAGATGTACACTTCGTGATTGCAACTAATTGCTGCCGTCTACCAACGCAGCGTTAGCTATACAATGAAATGAGACATTCCCTCTAACAGTATGGTAGTGATCCAGCGTTCCATCATGCTCGAAGTACATGCAATAGCTTATCTAACCAAACAGATTATCTCCATTGATTCTATTCACATATTACTGTTCACTAATGTATTGTATTCACAATCTAACTCTAATAAATTGTTACTCTGTCAACCAGATTCGGATAAGTGTCCAGTACATTGTTTCGTGAACTGAAGTGACCACCTTTCACTTTCGGTAATGCAAACACTCTGGGAATGACTGAAGAATACAGACCACGTAGTTTCCTACAGCAATACGACCATTAATTAAACTATTCTAATTTTGCCGATTAGTAAATGGCTCCTACAAGCGTCTCTTTGAAGATTAATTAAAAAACGGTTAGTTGAACAGTAGAACAGAGAGAATGTATTTTCGGATAGGAATTTGGAATTTACATACAGTCATGAAGAAAATACTTTACATATGCAATTTTGTAGATATGTTCTGTATTTTTAGTGTCGTAAAAATAACACTAAAAATACAAACACCAATAATACAATAAATATTAGAAAATGTAAATTTGTTTTTTTATTTCTGGTATATTATTTTATATTTAAACGGAATCGACTTTGAATTTAAATAAATTTTTATAAGCTGTTAGCGTTAGTTTTGGAAAATAGCAGTTTTAAATTTATATTTTTCCTTCTCTTGTTATTAGCGTATGCATCTTTTACTCCTTATGCATTATTTTTCCTTTAATGAATAATCATATTCTTTATTTTCCATTTAAAGAATATAGATATTGACTTAAATTTATATATTTTAAACGAAACTATTCTAAACAGATTTACCTTGTTATTGTGTGCGCTGCAAAGATTTATATCGTATTATTTAAAATAATAGTTATGTATATAATAATATTAAAATAATGAGATAATTCATAAGATAGGTAATACATATAAGTCATGTAATTCCTGTGTACCACGTAATACATATAAATATGCAAACTTTTTATCAAAAAATTGAAAAACAGATTTTATTACTCATTTTTTACTTTGTTCTAATGTTTCTGTGAACTTCATTCATTTTATTCTTTTTATACGCAGCCACCAGTATAATAAGCCCGGATACATGAAAGATTAATTGTGCTTTGAAAACAACTTTGCTTTCTAAAAAATTATATACTAAAATGCTCGAAATTATAAATGCATTTCACGTTTGTTATTGTTAAAGCATCGTGAATATTTTATTGATTTGACATCTTACTTTACCGAAACCGTATATAGTAAATCAAATTTTGAATTTATAATATAGCCCTACATATAAAGTTGAAGTTGTTTTCATATAGTTATATACTTTCTTTAAGAAACATTGGGAATATACAACTAGAATTAATATTTAAGAATTTCAAGATTTCAGCTATTATAATGCATACTTTGTACAAATACAATGGCATAACTATCACAAATTATGAATCAGTTACTACTATAAGATATGCTAAACAATAATATGATAAGATTATTTTAATTTCAAGTAGTGGCAAAACTATCAGAAACTTTGCAAGGAATTTTCACCTTCCCTACTTCGAGCCTTCGCGGGGTAACTGTGGAAGTATAACTAATTGATAGTCGTAAGTCTACAGTTACAATCCCAACAAGGATTGATTCTGCGTGTTTCCTGTCTTGAAAAAAAATTCTAAAAATCCTGTACAGCTTGTACACATAAGGAAAGTTACACAGTTTTACCTGAAGAAATAATTATGCAAAATGTATTATGTTTTATTATTGGAGAAGAAGAAACAAAATAGGAAGAAATATTAAATAAAGCCGCTCTCCCACAGAAAACTGTTAATTCGATATGCACTTATTCTTGACTGGAATACACGACTGGTACTAGTTACGCTTATTTTTAGAACGATGCTTCAAAAAATACTGAAGAATCCTTCGTTTGTATTCAGTATCATAACTAAGCTTTCTTATTAGTTGGTTATTTTATCATCTCTTATTATCCGATCTTTCACTTTACATTGTGCCTCGAAAGGCCATTCCTTATATGACCTATGCAATTTATTTCAAGGTAGTCGTGTTAGATATTCTATCATCCATAAATCAGACGGCAACTAAATTTTATTTCACTTCTACCAACAGAATATTCATGCAATATGCATCTTCACATTTAATGCTCACTGCCCCGTCAACAACAACATACACTCAAGATCCAAAACGTTATGTCCCCCTACTCAATAAAGCGTAGTGCGAACTTTGACCTGCAAAATAGCTGCAACTTGCTTTCGCAGGATTGCCACAAGTTCTTGGTAGATGACTGGAGACAAGGTATACAAAATGTACAAGTAGCGAACATGCAAAGTTGTGATATTCCGAAATGACGGCGTCTTAGCTCTCAACTGCCGCTTTATGATATCCCAAATGTGCTCTATCGGGTAAATATTCGGTGAGTTAGATGGCCGGGACATTTAATTGGAATTCATACTCATGCTCCCCGAACTACTCCAACACAATTCAAGCTTTGTGACATGGACGTTGTCCTACTGGAAGACTCTGTTTCCAGCTGGAAAGACGGACGCTATGTAAGGGTGCAACTAATCTGCAGTTACGTTCAGATAGTCCGCAGCTTTCATGGTCTTGTCTGTTCTACCACAAATTAGGATCCCAAAGCATAATACCGCCACCAGCAGCCTCTATATGACCTGTTGTATAGGGAGAGCAACTGTTCACCTGGAAGACAGCAACTGTTCTCCCTGACACGACTATGAGAAAGCATGATTCGTCTAACCAAGCAACAGTCTTCCACTTATCCAAGGTCCAGTCTCGATGTTCCCGGGCCCACTGTCGGCGTAGTTGACAATGATGCTTGTTCTATAAAGCCACACGAGTGGGACGTCTGCTGCGCAGTTCCTTATCAAACAATGTCCGCTAAACTGTGTGTTCCGAAACACTTGCGCTTGGACCTGCAATGTATTGGGCTGTCAGCTGAGACACTGAGTGTGGCGCCAATTTTGCTGTACCAAGGGGAACAGAACAGTCTCCGACGTATGGACGTCCAACACTTTGGTATTTACTGCTGGTTCACTGTCATTTTTTGTCTTTGCTTAAATAGTAACAACGGCAGATCGTAAACAACCTACCAGGCGTGCAGCTTCGGAAATACTCGTTCGAGTCTTCCGAGCCATTACAGTCTTCCCTCTATCAAATTCGATTAGATCAACAGCCTTTCCCATCACTCACAAAAGTATGTGTAAGAATGATTTCTTATCTCCTCCAGCATCAGCTAAATGCCATTTCCGCTTAATTATGTGACTTCCATGTAACCCAGACGAGTTCATTGAAAAATGTGGAAAATGACTTAATGTTTCGTCTCGTTAGTCTATTTTAGATGTTAGCCTATGGAACATCGCAGCATTTTAACCGCTACAAATCAAATTGATTTAGAACGCCTAGTGTATTTGTCTCGGTAATATGGACGTACAGGTACAGGATCTGTGAACATGACAGCTGTCAGTATACGGCAACCGTTATTCAGTGTCATAGCCTGTTATCGATTTAATGCTACTGTTCGTTTGAGAGGTTGTTTTCTGAAGCTACTTCTAGAAGTTTATGCGCTTTCTGAAAGTAGCTTCCGAGACCATGCTACTACGCACAATTTACACACAATTTTTCCAAAGAAAAAGGACATCCATATATTTGTATTTTCAGACCGACTGTTTATGGTATAAGTTCCCTTAAAATATACAGAGCATGCACATGCATATATAGAGTACTTTTCTATGCATTTCTATTTCAAACTTTATCATCATTCTTAAATTTACTAGTCATTTGCGGATATCAGAAAACATTTACTACTAACAAATATGTTCCACCTGTTCAAATTCGCACTTATAACTAAGATTTTATCTATAAACATCAATATATATATATATACATATAAACACTTTTATTATTTTAAATTTAAACGCAGTAAGGGTATATGAACAGTGTTGCCATTTCCTGAGAAAGTACATGAATTCTATATTTTAGTGACAAACATTTTATAGAAATTAATCAAATTAGTAACCTTTTCAAAACGACGTAAAAATGTTAACACTGTTACAGAACTTAAATATGTTTTAATGTTTTAATTTAAGAACGTAAATTTTAATTTATATTTTCTTGTTAAAGCTTTCCCGTTGTCTTCATCTTCTTTTTCTTTTTCATCTTTTCTTAGTGTAAAATTTCAAAGTATGGTTTTTATTTTGAATCTACTGACTAATGTGTATGAATATTGAAGAATATTTTGCTTTTCAGGTGTTTATAATCAATTAGATTTCGCTCTTAGCTTGTCCTCAAGTGCTCAACAGCGAATTCTATGCGTGATAAGACAAATCGAAGGTGAGTGTACCACATTTTATTCATTTTCCTTATATAATTAATCTAAATATACATGCATCAGAAATAAATTCTTCACTGTCAGACCCTGTTTCTGCCATTCAAACGAATATTTAATTTGTTTGCAATTGCTTCAGAAAATTATTTTGTTTTTTAAACGTTGTTGTAGCAAATCGATTAATTTTTATAACGACCATCATAATCAGACTATCCGCTTTAAAACTGCTATGCGCAGTTAAAAGGTATTTTCCCTTTCCTCATCGCTTTCTTTCATGGTGTAAATGGAAGTCCTACTCGCTAGAATAGGATGATCCGGAACTCAAACCCAGGTGAGAACGTAACTGGTGTTTTAACGTTTCCCGACTATGAAAAACTATAAAAGGACTATACAAATGGTTACCAAACTAAAATGTGGTTGACGATATTTTTTCATTAACTGAATCCTCTACCCTACAGTCGCCCCTTCATCAGGGGAAGATATAAGGAATTTTCATCATCTTTATTTTGTGAATACGTGATGTAATTGGCGTATTCACAAAATAAAGATGATGTGTAATCGTGGCGTGTAATCGGCCTGGGGTGTAATTCCCTGGCGTGTAATCGGGAATCCAAAGTTCGAAAAAGGAAAGACTTTTATGATTTTTCATACTGCCTGCTCTCAAATAAGCCTAGTGACTCTACACAATGAAGAAACTTAGTTATAAATAGTACTGATGCACAATGTTTGCAAGAACTTGAAAAGATTACAGTCTGTACAGTTGATTAATTTTTTACGACTGAGCAATTTGCTTTTAGTAATGATTCAACAGCGTTTAACTGTTTCAGACTGTGTAAAATTAGATTACATTACTGTGTATAAAATTAATTCTCATATAGTATGATATAACCTGTTACAGATTTTATGCCAAGCATTTGCTTTTCGTTTTTAGATTTGCCTTGAACAATTATTTTATGCTTAAAGTCAATGATATCAGTTTTTTCATCATTCCATAATAAACAAATGTAATGTTTTTACATAGGGGGCCAGTTAATCAGAATCAAGTAAATCGGTAGTTGACTGCATTCCGCACTGTTCTGAAATTTTCCCTCAACAAGGTTTTTATTGCTGTGTTTACCGTGGTTTGAGCCCAAACTGTTATCATTTTTACATTTGAACTTTCCAAACTCCAGCCGTTTTTCAATATTAAGGTTTCAAATGAATGTCAAAAACGATAAATATATTGCGAAATAAATATATTATCCCAATATCAACAGTGTTTCCAGCAATTATTAGGATAATTAGTTACTTTTTAGATGGTTAACTACCTTTATTTTCTGCTCTGGCTAACACTAGCAACTTGACCATTGGTCAAGCAATCAAAGCAAAATGACATCTTGCACACAGGTCACTGAACTAAAACGAAACAATAAGCTCCCTCTACTACTGACGACAGGGATTCTGTAAATTCATTATTCTTGCATGGGGGACGATTGCTATTAATTAACGATTATAAGATTTAAAAGCATTGTATGGTGCTTTTGTTATACTGTTCGTTATGAAATCCACTTGTCATCATAAAAGATATTCCCTGTTAAAAATTACCATAAATTTATTGCCATCCAGTTTCATATTTCTTTTAGTTAAGAAATTGTTCGATTTGTCCACAAATATTATGTTCGATAAAGAGAAATAAGCAGATCTTCGATAGCTAATCATAGTTGGGCGCTTACTCATAAATTTGACTCATAAATTTGACTTGATTAATTATGCAAAAAATATCTACAAAACTTGTTATTTTGGTGTGTTATATTTCCTTGATACATTTCACATTCGCAAAAAGTTATCTATAACTCCATTTTACTTAAAATAAATACTTTTGATTTTATATTTCATTTCATACGAGCGTAATTCTTTTGATTTTATATATCGTTAACAGCGTTTATTTGCTTTTAAATCGCTCCGTTTATTAATTAATAACAGTAAATTAAATTTGAAACATAAATTAAATATATTATTCTTTACTGAATGGCAAAACCCTGATTCGTGGAAGCTTAAAAAATATTTAATTTAGGGTGCTGATAGCACATTTCTTTTAAATTCTTTTAATTGACTAAATTTAAGTGAAACATGTCACACGATTTACCTAATAGCAACCTATTTCTTTAAAACTGCAGATTTTTTTTTCATTAAATTTGAAGGGTAAATATATTTCGCTTTGCCGAGAGGCGAAACGTTTCTTTTAAATCGTTGAGTACTTTGTTTATAAAAAATTCCCTAAGTTCATACAAAGCGCAAAATAAGTAAAAATAAAAAACAAACTTCGGGCTTGGAAGTGCATTTTTTCGTCATTTAGAAATTAATATTCGTAGGCGATTTATGAATAACAACCACGGCCTTCTCCGTGTTGTTGCTTATTTGTACAGCTTCCTGCATAACTTCCAAAGTTGACAATACTCCAACCAAAGTCATCTTTTAAATCACCCGAATATATATTACATTATGTGCTGTGAAATATTCCACAAACGCATTGCAATACATATATATCATCATCTTTTCATCCTTCATAAAAGCATCATTTTTAAGACAAATGAATAGACTTCACTTTCTCCATTGCAGGATAAGATAGGATATGGATATAGTAAAACATGCTAAGGAAAAGGATGCTTTCGTGGACAACATTTTGAGGGAAACCGGTTCATATTCATATTATACATGACGAAAAACATGAAATCTCCAACTTAGCCAGATTCAGTGGGATTCGCATTCGAGTTGAGCTGTTAGTGTTCCCTCATGTTGTTAGTCTCCCGCTAGTGTTCACTTTTTTTCCTGTAGTTAATTAATAGATAATCAATGATGCAAATCAGTATTGCGCGGTATTATTATAAAATAGATATTTTTCTGAGATCTTCATGCTCAAAAATGTCATAGATTAAATTGGACTTTTTTCCAGGGGGGGGCACAGCAAATTTTAATCAAAGAATATCGCAAAAGGATTACAAACGGAGTGCACGGATTGAAATAGAATCTATCACCTCATTATTTAACTGCCTAGAAAGCATTGGAATTACTACTGCAAGTGAATATATCAGCAATCGAAAACACAAAAGAATCCGTGACGATACCCGGGAAATATTACTTTCATTATAATGAGCTTAGAGGGTGAAATGGTGCCTCTTTCGTGTCTCTGAACTTCCTCCTCCACGGGGAAATTTCAATATATATTCAAATTCCTAACGGATAGATTTGAAAGATCCCACTCTATTTCTATTCTTCTGCAATCGAAATAGAAATTGGAATGTTCGCCTCGAGTTTGTTTACTCTGTGCAGTGATGTGACTTATTCTGCACTCGTAATTGGTACACTTATAACGATTTTGATTCTGATAGGCGTCGTTACGTGGAAAAGATGTTGACAGAATGGACACGCAGCCGTAAATGTATTAAATAAGCGTCTGAATGGACGGAATTTTCGTGTTTATATTCATTTACTCAAAGAGAATAATACGAAGATGCAGAGTTGAAAGTAAAATACTAAATTAAGCGCTTGAAATGGTGCTGCGGTTTTTATTTTCCTCCTTGTTATTCAATCATTATTGAAATTTCGCTGTGTTCTCTCTCGCTTATCAAGAAATTCAGTTTTCCCTGTTTTTTCCCCTCCCTTTTTTTAGCGTAATGATACAGTAATGATTAAATATTTGAAATTCAAATTCTTGACAAAACAATTATGCCTCTATTTTATCGAAGTCAGTTTTATATCTTATGCTGCATTTGACAATGATCTCTTGCTCTGTACGTAAATTACTGCATCTGTTGCCTGAATTTGATTAATAAAATGTTTGTTTTCAGTCGTTCTGGGCGGTACAGTGGTTAACGAATGCCCCGTTTCCACTAGTGTGGTTCGTGAGCGTAGTCTCATTGGGAGAAACGCATTCGAACATGAAAGACCGTTCACACTATTGCATTGGACTGCGCTTAAGAGAGTTCGGTGATCATTTGCATTTACTGCCCGCAGATGTCTCTGTGTTTAACCTAAGGGATTCGGACTCCTGAGATACTTAAATTTAGTTTTTTAATTATATCTTTCTGTTTATGAATGATAAAGTACAATATGTTACCAGTTTTTATTAAGGTTATAAGTGTAGTTCGTGAGCGTAGTGTCATTGGGAGAAACGCATTCGAACATGAAAGACCGTTCACACATCATTTGCATTTACTGCCCGCAGATGTCTCTGTGTTTAACCTAAGGGATTCGGACTCCTGAGATACTTAAATTTAGTTTTTTAATTATTTCTTTCTGTTTATGAATGAGAAAGTACGATATGTTAATGAGAAAGTACAATATGTTACCAGTTTTTATTAAGGTTATAAGTGTGGTTCGTGAGCGTAGTGTCATTGGGAGAAACGCATTCGAACATGAAAGACCGTTCACACTATTGCATTGGACTGCGCTTAAGAGAGTTTGGTGATCATTTGCATTTACTGCCCCCAGATGTCTCTGTGTTTAACCTAAGGGATTCGGACTCCTGAGATACTTAAATTTAGTTTTTTAATTATTTCTTTCTGTTTATGAATGAGAAAGTACGATATGTTAATGAGAAAATACAATATGTTACCAGTTTTTATTAAGGTTATAAGTGTGGTTCGTGAGCGAAGTGTCATTGGGAGAAACGCATTCGAACATGGAAGACCGTTCACACTATTGCATTGGACTGCGCTTAAGAGAGTTTGGTAATCATTTGCATTTACTGCCCGCAGATGTCTCTGTGTTTAACCTAAGGGATTCGGACTCCTGAGATACTTAAATTTAGTTTTTTAATTATATCTTTCTGTTTATGAATGATAAAGTACAATACGTTACCAGTTTTTATTAAGGTTATAAGTGTGGTTCGTGAGCGTAGTGTCATTGGGAGAAACGCATTCGAACATGAAAGACCGTTCACACTATTGCATTGGACTGCGCTTAAGAGAGTTTGGTAATTATTTGCATTTACTGCCTGCAGATGTCTCTGTGTTTAACCTAAGGG